TCCATTTGGTCTCTCTTTATAACATACTCGTGTAAGTCATTAGCAGAAATGCTTTCTAGATATCAAACCAATGTAAAGGTCACTGACCATGGTAATGCTCGCCTCGTGGTACGAGATTAGTACTACCGGGGCTTGATTCTTGTGTTAGTGAGTGGGTTTCTGGACCCTTTACCAATTTGGTGGTGTTGGGATGATGGGTTCATGACCTACCTTGAGTTTTCAGCTTTCCCAACCCTAGCATTTGGCCTATAGCTCCTTGGAAAAGCTTGCCAAACACACCAAAATTTCCGCAAGGGGTTTTGGACGTCCAAAGATCCTTGGGAAAGCTGAACCAAACTCAGTTCATATACCCTTGAATAGATTGAAGAGATATGGTTAAATTTGAACATTTCGTAATAAGCGTGGAACTCTGTGATAATGCTAAAAGAGGATTGTTCGCTGGTCAACCTACCTCTCTTATTTACTGAAAGAAAGATGTAAATGTCAGTGATACATATAGGCTAAAGACGAGCAATCACACAAATGCAAGTTGAGCCTCTCAAATGACGTGGGACCAGTTGATTGTTGTGAAGGAGATTTTTATTTTATTGTCTTATCTTTTAAGATTTATAGGATCTTAGAGATATTGTTTATTCCGATTTAGAATTTATTAATTTAGGCTAAGATTTATCTTATTTGGATTTTTAGATATGTGTTTCCTCATTTGAATAATTTTTTTATGATTTCTTTTTTTACGAATATTGCTTACTGCTCATGTAAATTGACATCAATACAGAAAAAAATATTTCTCTCTAAAGTTGTGCCTAAAAGTGTGTTTGTGGATTATTCCAATCCGTGCTTCGCTTTGCTGCGTCATAGCATATGAAGTCCACATAAATGTGTGTGTAACTTTTATAGTTTACATCCATCTACATATCATGCATACTGCCACTAATCTCAAGACACCATTTCATTATATGCTAAGATGAATTCCGCACCCTAAGTGGCTCTATCTTGTGCGGATATGCTTTGTGATTCCATCGGTGAAAACCCGAACCGAAACATGTGATATAAATCTTAATGTGACTGCTCAAGTGGTAAGCTTTTAAAGGAATTGAGTAGGAGGGTACATTTCCTTCTTTTCTTTAGGGGGGACAAAACGGGAGAAAGAATATATGAATCTTTGTACAATTGAAGCTGTTATCTTGAAAAAATATTTCTTTAGGGGAATAATTTCTATTTTCTCAAATTGTTTGAGGCTTCCTGATTCCTGAATATAATATCACCCATTTCTTGATCACAGAATCTCTTAGTAACCCTAGAAAAAAGTCGATCCATGCCAATATGCTGTGAAAAGCATTAACATCCAAAACTAGGTTCAGTGCTCCATTTGTACTTATCCTAATGAATTCTGCACTTTTCACCATATATTATGCCCCATCGCCATCTTAGTGAGCCCTCCATTGACGTGGAGCAAACCAATTTCCTCAAAATAAGGGTATGAGGGTTTATTTATCCATCCCTTTTTGGGGATCCGTGCTCGTAAATTGATAAAGGTCCATCATTGAGATTGATATTCTAATAATATCTTGTTGATTAATTAAACGAAAGTTAGGCAAAAAAAAGAAAAAAGAAAAAATGGCAGGCACTGCCTTACATGTTCATGTTCACCCCCTTTAAAAAGAGCGAATTAGAAGTGCACAATGATCTATGAATGTCGGGCTTGAGGGTCCACTGTGATAGGAACAATTAACGGATCTTGATGCATTGAATGCATCACATGGCGTAATCTATGGTGTCATGCACACACTGATTATTCCTCTAAGTTTAAATTAAGATGTGGAATCACATATTGTCCACCCTCATGAAGCCCATCTCTCTCTCTCTCTCTCTCTCTAAACTCATTCTAATTTGTAAGGAAGCGAACGTTTATAGGGTTAATCGAACAAGGGCATTATTACATGAAAGAATCTCAAGGAGCTTAAAAAGAAATATGTCCATCTAATGTAAAAAAGTACTTAACCTAAAATTCCAATTTACGAGGATAAGACAACACAAGTGCCATCACTATCGTACGACGATCACTTGAGTGCCATAACTTTTTTTTCGACTACTTAAGTACTTTAAATCCTAAAAAACGTTAACTTGAGTGCCATAATTTTCAATTGATCACTTAAATGACAAAATTTTTTAAGATCATTCGCCCAAGTGCTGGAAATCCGATGTGGCATAGTATTTATGGTGAACGTTTTTAAAAAGTTATGGCACTAATTGATCAATTGAAAAGTTTTATGGCACTCAAGTGATTGGAAAAAAAAGAAGTTATGGCATTCAAGTAATTGAAAAAAAAAATTATGGCACTCAAGTGAGTGATGTACGAAAGTTATGGCACTTATAGTGTCCTATTTTCCTAATTTATGACTACCCATGACATGGCAAAACTATTTATCCCTCTTAAAAACTCTGGTGTATAACAAAAATTCAGTGACTTGATTAAAAAATCCATTAAAGTATACTTACTGCTAGTAAAATTTTAACCAGACAATTTATCATAAAAAGCTATAGATATAAAATGAAAAATGATTAAGTGACTGTCATTGATCCATTGTAATATTAACAACCTATTTTGGTAAAAAAAAAATTAAATAACAAATACTTATAAATTATTGTGGAGTTTACTCATTCAAGAATATGTGGCTTATAACATATTGTTACTCTCACAGTGGCCCAAAAACTGTTATGCTAGCAAAGCCCACACAAAATTTTGGTTTATAGAATCGACCTACAAAGGCAAATGAATAATTATAGCATACGCCGCTAGTGTAAACAATTTTTTCCAAATAAGGCGATGGACTTATATGGAATGTTAAAATATGACCCACTTCTCACTCACACATTTAATAATTTAGTTTTGCAAATTGTTGTTAGTATTCCCAACTATACCAAATAATAATAATAATAATAATAAAAGGAAGTAGTGCACTCAATGAGCAAGATAGTGATTAATTAGTACGGTCGTTGTTGACTTGGTCTCTTAATGGAGCAATCCATAAATGATTTGTTTTCATTCCATGTGTTCTTTTCCACAATATGTGCCTTGTCAGAGTGTCAAAATATCTTGTACGATCTTCATCGATCATATATTTATATAAACGACAGATACGGTTGCTGGAGGGGATTTTGTCTCACCAATATGAGAGCGTGCATTGAAAAAAATAGAATAAAATCTAAGTGACTCGTATCCTCTCTGTAATTTAATCAAGAGTGTGTATGGCTCTGCATTGGTGGCTAGTTGGGTTTGGGGATAGCATGCAATTTAGAAGCATGATCTGATGTGCTCGACAACATTAGCAAATAAGAAATAAGATATTGCTGCGAGCGCAATCCCTTATACAGTCCATTTAATAGATTTGGGTTACTTTTCCCTTTTTGAATTTACTTGATCATGATGGAGAATTGGAGATTAGCCTGTTTTGGTTGGATTTTCATGAGATTGAGAAGTGTGATTTACATCATGAAAAATCTTGCAATTAACTATATAAGATACAATATTTCCACCATCCTCTACACCCTATATATATATATGAAATTTTGTGGGACTACCGCATCTTGTTCTAATGAAAAATTTAACCCATTAGAAGAAGCTGATGGGGTTTGATATTTATGACACTGTAATGGCATTTCCCTTAAACGTAGTCATGCTTAGAAATAAACCTAAAAACGAAACTTCACATAAAGTACATGCAATCACATGAAAGGTTTCAAAGGCTGATGTCCTTGTCATGGGGGAGAAGATTGGGTTGAATTTTGAGACACTGTGATCCAATCAAATGGGCCTCTTTTAATTCGCATGCCATTTTGTGGCCAAAAGGATGGACCAATTGGTCCATGCCTTTGAAATCTTTTGAGTTTAAAGAGTGCTGCACGTGTGGAGCTCACGTGCTATGTGAGATTTTGGACCAGCTAGGGTTTTGCCTTTGGTTAAAATAGGAATTGGGACAGTGAATTTGTATGGGGATCTGAGAACTTTGGGACCATTTCAAGGCAATTATTGCTTTTCAAGGATAAAGATGAACCCTAGTGGAAAGCCTTTGGACCACAAGCAATATGGGTATGGTCATATAGGCTCATCCTTCTTCACCTTTAACGTGTTATTGTTGTAAAGGGTCATGGTTGTTTTGATTTTCCCCCTTTGCTTTGCCATTTAACTTTCTGATAAAGATTAAATCCACCCTATTGTCTAATAATTGTTATTCATTCATTATATCGCGTGGGTCATCTTTATATCAATATCTATCTTTTTTATCGTTAAACTAACCTTCTGAGGTTGTTCAAGTTAACTCTCGAAAGTCCAATTCAATTTCTTTTAACATCCTATGGCACGTCTAGTGGCATTCTTAGTGAGATTCGTTCTTTTTATGTACTCTAATCCAATTTCGCCCCGATGGCAAGTATACCAAAAAGAACCCAAATTAGTTTGTACGTGTCCCATGAGCTGAAGAAGATTGTGAGATTTGAATGTAAATATAGTTGTCCAATGAAGGGTTAGAGACTATAAAGCCGGGACCAACTCTTGATCTCTCTTATGTCCTTTGCGTACTTGAAGACAAACTTTATCAACTTCTCTTCATCATCAATGCTACAACACCCATGGTCTCGAGTACCTATCATATTTGCCATATATTAAGCTACACCATATTATGATAACGAAATGGTTCAATCGTTAAATGATTATATACATTTGTCAAAAACATAAGTTGTTAAGATACGAAACCCTAGAATATATTACATCCTAGTGCTCTTGTCATCCTTCGCATGGGTTTTTATCAAAGTTGACCGTATTATACATGAAATATACGATAATAAGTTGAGATTATTTGATCAAACATAGGCATAAACTTAGAAAATGTTGGTTCACTTCATCGATACTTTGTTCGACTTCGGTTAATAATTGTACCCAGTATGAAGAAACAAAGGGCAGTTAAAACAAACAAAACCTTTTGAAGAATACATGGAAAAAATAAACCATATAAAGAAATCAAGTGTTATTGATTCAATAGAACTACAAAGTATTAAAATTTCGGTTATATAGACAACATATTTAGTTAAAAAAAAGTCTAAAAAATTCGCTAAATGCTAAGAAGAAACACTTTCTGAATATTCATCTCGTACGAGCAGGAGAATTTCGGTCAATCACAACATAGGTATACAGAAAACATGCATGGAGTGAAGTCACGACTCTTCTTCTCGACTATCCATATGCAATTTTTGTTTTTCTTTTTCTCGTTATGTTGCAGTCAAGCAATATTCTGCGTGCACGATCATTTAAAATCATCTCAGTAGCGAAACCTACTAGTTGAGATTGATCCTCGGGACACAACTCGTGCTTCGAGCGATCTTGGACGTGGGCAAAGTCCTGGAGTTTCTATTTTCCCAGCTTCTTTTTGCTATGTTCCTCATGGCACATGCCAAGGAAAGCTTTGGATCTGATCTGGTTGTGCTGTTAAACTTTTGGCAAAATTCCTTGTGTGAGCTCACAGCTTCTTGGATTGCAATAGATGGTGCTTGTGTAAGCTTTTCTTTGACTGCTTCTGAGCAAAGGCCACAAACCCATTTGTCTGAATAACAACTTTTAATTTGGGATATGTAAGTTTGAGTGCAATCCTCCTTTAGGCCACAGCATTCACAAGTTACTTGCTCAACTTCATCAATCATTCCCAAGGTAAAGTCTAATTCGCTCCTGTAAAAGTTGTCCATTTGGATTGATGCATCCGAAATTGCCTTTCGTAGCCTTTGTTCATCCTGCGAAGAGAAAGGAAAAAAAGAAATTATTACGATATTTTATCCTAACGCAATATACACATATATATACATCTCAGAGAGAGTGATTTTCTAATTATATGTGAACTTTTGTTACAAACAACGCCAATGTAAAGTATTCTTCACAAATACAAATATAAAAAGCGATGGACCTTTTTTCATGTGGACATCAAGCAGTTATCGCAAGTAAAACATGCACAAGTCACATCCACCAAAATGCATATCTTGTAGTTTACACACAGGCAATGCACATATTGGACATGAAGAACATGCAATAGTAAAGCAAGATTAGGTTTCAAAGCATGTTCTGCGGAGTTTTTAATTTAGGCTGTGTTCGTTTCCGGAAAAATATTTTTCCGGAAAACATTTTCCGCGTTTTCCGGTGTTCGGGGGCAGAAAATGTTTTCTGTGAGAAAACATTTTCCTTCCCCACCCCCAAATCCTTCATTGTTTTGAGGAAAATGACTTCCGCTTCTGAGAAGCGGAAGTCATTTTCCGGAAGTCTGAAGCTCTGCTTCAGACTTCTTCCTATTTTCTTTTTTATTTTTTTGTTGCTTCTGCTTCTTCTACCTCAGCCAGTCGGCGGCCGGCGACCGGCGAGCTCGGCCTCGCCGATGACCTCGGGCGAGGTTCGCCGACGTCTGGCAAGGCCCCAACTCGCACGGCCGGCGAGCTCGGGCCTCACCAGATCCGGCGACCTGGGCGGGGTCGAGCCTCGCCCGAGGTCGCCAGATCCAGTGACCTGGGCGAGGTCAACCTCGGGCGAGCTCGACCTCGCCCAGGTCGCCGGATCGGCGACCTCGGGCGAGGCCGATCTTGCGAGGCCCGAGCTCGCCAGCCGGGCAAGCTGGGGCCTCGCCGGCCTGTGGCGAGGCTCGAGCTCGCCTCTGGCCGGTCGTCGGACGTCGGCCGTGGCCGGCGACCTGCCGGAGAAGAAGAAGGAAAAAGAACACAGCCGGTGGCGATCGTTGCCGAACGCCGGAAAATATTTTCCGAAACTTTTTCATATTTCAGCCGAACACTGGAAAATTGTGTTCCGGAAAAACATTTTCTAGGAAAATGATTTCCAGGAAAACATTTTCCAAAAACACAATATTTTCCGCCAAACGAACGGAGCCTTAGATTCAGCTAGGTCGAGCTTGACTATCCATAAAATCTTTAATGAGAAGAATCTTGAAAGCATAGTATAGAATAAAAGGACTCGGTATTAACATCTAGAACCCAGACCGCAAAACTCCAACGAAGTGTTTAGTATTGATTCTCGTGGAACCTATGCCTTAGAGATGGTAAAGCAGAGTGATGGGTAATTTCTTTTAAATATGCATGAAGCATCTTCTCAAGTATAGTCCAGAATTTGGCACAAGCTGCGAACCTGCAATGGGTTGTAGATGAAAAGGCAAAAGAAGAGACTAAATATTCTACGTAGAACCTCTTTCTCTTGCCCGTAACGTAACCCAATCCATATAAATTCAAGCCCTATTAGTTAAATAGAGCGCAGCTGTAGATATTAGTTACCATCGACATTTAGCCGACTGCCATTACTTTCAATTTCGATTTATCAGCCTCGAAATCTGTGGGAAGAAATGAATCAATGCAACATCTCAAAGCTACAATACCATGATGAAGGATTATCGGCTTGCTCTTCTTCTCCTCGTGTCTTTCTCAACTTCTTCTTGTTCTCAGGTCCTCGTGCTAAGCAAAGTTCCTCTGTGGTTTCATCAGAATCGATGGCGATGAGCAACCATTTGCATATGAAGCTGATCATTTGCTAGTATGCACTTTTCTACGTCGGGAAAGGAGGGTTTATATACAAGGTTCTCATCTTCCTGTGGAGCGAATCTCTAAGAGAGATTACATCAACAGACGAAAAGATGGTCATGAAAGTTGAAAATGTGACATTGATCTTTTTTTTTTTTTTCCTTTTATGATCTGAACCTTTCAGGCTAAAAAATATCTGGACGCTTTAACAGATAAGGGTTGCTTTCTTGGTATGACATTCAATGATCAAATTGCACCACCCACAAATTTTCTCTTTGCAATTTGCAGACACTTTTAGTTGCGAGACGGCGGATCTCCCCCGTAAGCTTACCAGAGAAGGAGGATCAATGTGTTCAAAAGAGAAACGAAGAATTTCGCTTTAGGGTTTGCACTCGCGAGCATTCACGTGCAGCTTCACATAGTAATGCATGCATGCATTACTCTTCCTTGATTCGAGCCCACTGTTTCATACTTACCAAAACCGGACGGTGTTCATGTCTCTCTTGACTCAATCCACTGTTTATCTGAACATGGAAGCGACGTGGTTTAATGCAATTCACGTTTTCTATGTAAGCGCGCCCATACCGTTAAGTTCGTCCAATTTGGAAATTCTAACACAAGGAGCAATCCTTTTACGTTGGTGGCCATTGAACTTTGATGCAAAAGTAATGCTCGTGCTTCTTAGAAAATCCGAGAATGGTATTTAAGTATTTTTATGTATTTATTGAGTCTTTTGCGTTGTATTTTGTTTCTAGGGTCATTTGAATCAAGCGTCAATGTTGTTGCTTCTATTTTGTCTAGGGATTGTTTTTCTATAGCGAAATAAAAAATTGGTGTCTTGGGATTTTCTTATGCTTAGAAGGTTGTTCCAAGTAGTATCTACATTAATAGGAAAAGTACCAAAAAAGTCATAAAATTATTGTATTGTAATTTAGTCCTAAACATTTTAGTTGGATCAAATTAGTTATAAACCTTTTGTATTTTTTAAAAATATTCTGAACGTTTTAAATAATTTTTTATGGTTTTTTTTTCCTTTTTTCCTTTGTTTTTTTTCTTTCCCTTTTTCTTTTTGTTAGTGGCCGGCAAAGGCTGGCCTTGCTTGGGCAATGGTCGCCCTTATTGGGCCTTGCCTGGATGAGGGCGAGGGCCACCCTCACCAATCTCATGAGGGCCACACTCCCATCGTCATTGTCAATCATGTGAGGGCCACACTCTTAACCGTCATCTTTGCCATGGCGAGGGGGTCCTCGCTAGTGCTTGCCCTCGCCTAGGCGATGCCAGCCCTCGTGTCCATGGCCTGTGGCCGGCGACCGGCCATTGCCAAAAAGAAAAGGGAAAGAAAAAAAGAAAGGAAAAAAAAAGAAGGGAAAAAAGGAAAAATAATAATAAAATAAAAAAATATATTAAAAAGGTTTAGGACTACATCGGATTGCTAACATCCACATTAGTGATTTCTTGCCTAAATTGGCCAGATGGACTGAATTGGCATAAATGCAAAATATTTAGGACTAAATTGATCCAATTGAAAGGTTTAAAACTAAATTGGTACTAATACAATGGGTTTAGGACTTTTTTGGTACTTTTCCCCTATATTAATCTCTCTAATCTCCTTGTAGGGTCAGTAAGTATTTTAATGAATTTTTGGAATTGAACTCTTGAATGAGAGTTTCAACTTAACTATGTGTCTCTTTGGTGGTTCTAGTGAGCCTTGAGTTATATGTCTTGTACTCAAATCGTCTACTCTTCCAAATGCGCATAAACTACCCTATCCAGACTCCTGTACATCGGGCAATGCTCTATCCACAAGATACTGGTGATAAGCGTGTCCACAAAGTTACTATGAGCAGTGGACGATAGGATTCGCGCACGGTATTTGTTGCGTCGAATCCAGCCTATGGATGGTATCGTTGCTATGAAGTTTTTACCAGTTTAGGAAGTTGATGTAACAAACCTATAGAGATGTGAACGGACCTAGATGGCGTTCACCACACGGAGATTTGATAGATTGATTGGGGGTTGACGACGATGTGTCGATGAGGAAAAGTGGTAAAGATGAGTCATTGCATGCAAATCATGTGAGAGAAACCCTAGTTTGGTCCCCCCGCTAGTAGTCTCTCTTCAATGCTGATGATCCGGGACCAAAGAACATAGGCAAGCCATATGAAAACTGACTTAACACAATTCGAGAATCGAGTGCTTTCTCATCTGGATAACGATTTTGGGGAGGGGGGGGCGGCTTTTCTTGGCAACACCTGTTGTACATGATGCAATTGAAAAGGACACTGTTGATGCATTGACTGGTTTCCTACTCTTCGTAATTAATGCCGAAGGATGACCATTTCGTCGAGAAATATAGTCAATATGTTATTTAATTTGCTTGTGGTTGTTCTCGAAACGGCTCAAATATTTGAGGAAAAATCCATTTTTAAAGTTCCTTTTTTATGTGTGTAAATATGTAAATATCATTAATCAGATGAGGTACAAAAGCTTAGGGGAATCTGTGGCATTACAAAGAGACTAATTATGCGAGAAGATGGAGGAAGGAAGCCTCTATACAATAGCCAATAAAACATTTGCCTGGGAAGGCCTACAATGTTGGTAGAGTGATGCCCTACCTCTTACAATATTTTTTAAAGTCTTGTTGGTATCGCTCTAATTGTATTGGAACAAAAAAATTAAATTAAAGGTGGTTGGTAAGATGCATGTGTGATTATGTTAGAAAAGTCCCACATTGAATAATTAGTGTGGTGTGTAGTAATTAATATATTCTAATTGATCCATAACTTATTGGTTTAAACTTTTGAATAAATGTAGGTCCAATTGAATATGTTGATAGGCTCGAACTTGGGCTCTTTCTTGGCGATCTCTCCAAACCAATGTATCGAACTTTTGCTGCGCACTGCCAACATCATTTATGGTAGATTGGTGGGCTCCTAATCTCTTCCGGCCCAATGGCAACCTCATGGTTCAATCTTGAGAAAAAGATCACGGATGAAGGTAGGCGTGATGGAGTTTAAAGTTGAGATATCTTGGCTTAGAAGGATACCTAAATTAATGGGGATCAAACGTAACATTGAGCTCACATGTGAGGGGAAGATTGTTAAGAGGCACATGTGAGTTGTGTTAGAAAAGTCCGTCCCACATCAGATAATTGATATGATGTGGAGTAGCAAATATTTCCTAGTTGACCCATAAGTCATAACTCATTGGTTTAACCTTTTGAGTAAATGTGGGTACACCTAAATATCGACTTAGGCTCCCTCCTGATGATCTCCCCAAGTAAAGGTATCAGATTTCACTATTGACTTCCAACATGGTGAAGTTTTTTGTCGGGCTGAAAAGAAAAGATAATGAGGCAATTAGAAATGCACTTGGTGATGAGTAGTCTTTTCGTATGTGTAATTTATCCTAATAAAATTATTTTTAATAAGTTTAAGAGTTACGCATCTCAAAGTCATCAAGGCAGCTCCAGTGAAAGTAATTTCCTATGCGAGGTTGCTGCGGTCGTGAGATTTTTATGAGACGTCTCGAAATACCAAAGTAACCTATTTCACGGTTGTATTATTTATTGAAAAAACTCTGCCGAATGCACTCTCAATAGAAAAATATTTATGAATAGCTTAGTACGCGAACCAAAACCCATTGCCTTACCACTTGGCCATGCCCCATTTCGATTTCTATTCAATGAAGGCCGAAACTATGGCATTGGCGTGCGTGGAAGGGCACGAACTTCTCCAACCCGTAAGTATGTTGATTGAATAATGACACTCCCGCTTTGAAAAATAAATGATATGATATCAAAAGCCATGTTTTTGGGCCAAGTTGGTTCGCATGGAAAATTCTTGCAGGAGCCTTGCCAACCAATTTAGACCGATTGGAACTACCAACTTGAACAAAAAAGTTTATGGTTAGGGATCAAATTGTACAATTTTTTTTTTTTGAGGAATCTGATCGAACAATGTACAATAGTTTAGGGGCTTTTGCTGCCATATTCTTGTTTTATTAATACTAGCAACGCAAAAGGATCGTGATACTTTTGTGGACTAGAGCTTTAGCGTGAGGTGTTGCATCCTTAGACTTACTTAAATATCATATTTTGTTTTCCCAAATATCAGATTTCGGGAAAAGGATACCACGAATGCGTAAATTTCTATGGCGCTCACTTTAGAGTCATAATTTTATTTTTCAATCACTTGAATGCTATAATATTTTTAAAATGTTCACAACAAGTGCCATGTCACGCCGGATTTCTGACCATTGGGTGAATATTTTTTGATAGTTATGGCACTCAAGTGATTGGTCGAAAGTTATAGAATTCAAGTGAACATTTTTTATAAGTCATGGCACTCAAGTGATAAAAAAAAGTAACAAAAAAATTGTTGTGGTAGTCAAGTGAGTGCCTGACAAAAATTAAAGTATTTGTAGTGTCCTTATCCAGTCAGATTTCATTTCATTTGTGTACACGATGAGTTAATTCTATCTTTTAGACATCCTTCTCATTATAGATTATCGTAGTTATCTATCAAAAGGTCATGTATTTTTTTGACCTTTTCAACTTTTTTGTAGCTCAAAAACTAGCAAGTAAGATCAAAGTTGATTAAATTAGAGAACAACCAAGTCCTTGTGGTTAATTCGATCACATGCAATTAAAGAGACGCTTAATTCCAAACTAAACGCAAAATAACATATACGACGCATGGTCTTACGAATCAAGTGAAAAAAATTTCCGACTATGATATTTTTATATGTGTGTGTGTGTTTTACACGTTCCCCTTAGATGATGGAGATGTGAAAGAATTTGGTTACATTTTTACCATCAAGTACACGTGCCAATAATCCGATGACGAGTGTATAAAAGTTTTGTTACACTGATGTTGACCTAACAATTATCCACATTGGAGTCTATATAAGCTTTTTTTTCCTTTTTCCTAAGTAAGATTAAGCACTGTATTATAGTGTTAAATGTCTCGAATTTGAACTCATGTACAAAGCGCAAACTATTTAAAGTCTAGCCCGTAGTTTGGATGTCTTTTGACTAGGACTTTATCTCCAAGCAAATTTAGTGGAGTCGGGCTTTGATCTTAGAATAAAGATAAAAAGGAAAAAAAATGAAGGTTTTCGAGTTTGAGTCAGCAAGTCACATAAGCACATATAAAAATGGAATTCTATTCAGTCATTACATATTAGAGGAAACAAGAGGAGGGTAAGGATTTTCTCTATGTGAGTTTTCTGAGTGAGTTCTTTGTTAGATATTATGAGATAACACTTATGGATTTGTTTTGGGTGTAATTTAGTGTTAGGAAATATTTGAGTCATTGAGCAATTGTAACTCTGTAATTCTCTGGATCCATAGTGGATTGATTCCTTTATTGCTGGTTCTTCCCTTTGAGTAATTACCGACATTTAGAATGAGCCATAAAAATCTCTGGTGTCCTTATTGTTCCTTATTGAATTCTTTGGTAATTTCTTCTAAATTTACAAAATCCGTTCGCTTCCACATAATTTCGCAACATTTAGTAAAGTACACACCTCTAACAAATAATTATGAAGTTTGGAGCAACATGAGATGGTTAACAATCAACTGGATTTATGTATATTACTAAATATATTGGCTTCTGAAGGAGCAAAAGCCAGCCTAGATGATAAAGGACTATGAATGGCAATGCTTATACTTTTATACCTTTAACCTAACCAATGGATTATAAAAAGAAAAAAATATCAACATATAGAAACTTCACAAGAAATAAGCCTACATAAGTAACTGAAACAATCTAATCATTGATGCTCAAATTAACCACATAAATAAAGGTGAAGCAAAGAAAAAGGTAATTCATGCTGAGATTATATCTCCAAGAAAAGCAAAACGCAACCTTAAAACATCAAACATTGTCATACTGAAATTATTTAAAGCATACATAATCAATCAACAAGAGAGATGACATCTTTCTCACTTCATCCACTGGCTTCCTGAATTGCACTTTCTATCTTCTTGGCCATAGATTGGAGGCAAAAATCAATGTAAGAGCTCAAATCTTGAGGTCCCCAACCCTCAATTGGATCAGCCACAAAGGACCACTCGATCATGCACCCTGCCATCTTAGCGTCCCCATCATTCATGGGCACCACTCTAATTGTGGAAACATAGGACTTGAGGCCCATATTGTTGTCCAAGACCTCGTAGGTGAAGCACTTGTCGCTAGGGTCCATCATGAGGAGCCGCTCGTTGGCCCACTTGACCTTCGATGGGTCCGAGTCGCCGCCGCTGAGGGAGGCGGAGGCGCAGTAGCGGACGAGGCCGGGCTGGCCTGGGGCGCCTTCGACTCGGTGGCACTTGTCGAGGGAGGGAAGCAGCTTGTGAAGGTTGCAAAAGTCCTCCAAGAATGGCCACACTTGGTGTGGTGTTGGCCCTTTCAGCTCAGCAATGGCCTTGCCTTCCCATTTTGGTTGGGTTTCTTCTGCCATTGATTGATTGATTGGGGAGAGAGAGAGAGAGAGAGAGAGAGAGAGAGAGAGAGAGAGAGAGAGAGAGAGAGAGAGAGAGAGTTGTTGGGTTCATGGCAAAGATGGAGACACTTATAAGGAGATCTTCATTTTCCATTTTTCAGCGAAACTATGGCATTGGCGCGCGTGGAAGCGTACGAAATTTCTTAACTCTCAAGTATGCTAACTGAAAATGACACTTTGCTCTGAAAAATAAACGAGGGACATGATATGCATGTGTACTGAATATGATATGATCTCAAAAGCTATGTGAATTAAATTAATTTGCTTTTTACCAACAATAATTAATTTACAAAATTGGGTGTATCTTATGCTCAAATGATTTAATGGGAGAGATTAGCTGATGTTAAGCGACAACATTCACGATACAGCCCGACACAGTATACATTCAAGGCATCACACAATCACCGGAAAAAATTACCCAATCAATCCTAAATCTACTAAACGGATGCCAATTTAGTCTTGAACTTTTTAATTTTATTAATGTACTCTTAAATTTTTGCATGAAATTCCAAGATAGTTCCTATCAATTTCACCAGAAAATCGTTGACGTGGCAGTTCAGTCACTGTAGGCCGTTTTACGTGGCACCACGTCATGTCAGCGATTTCTAGCGAAAATTAGCCGGAAGTATATTATTAGAATCTCGTGCAAATGTTTATAACTAAATTGACAAAATTTAAGAAGTTAGGATTGCATTGGCATATGTATAATAGGTTCAGGATTGATTACCCGCAATCACCTAATATACGAGCTCAAATAGAAAAATTACTCACCTCAAATTTAAAGCATGCCCATATCAACGCCTCTTCCGCCTCTCTATCTGGCAAAAAGAAAACAAAAAGGCCAAAGCCTCACGCCACCCAAGTGGACCACCGCCAACTCTCCTCCTCCTCCTCACCCCACAAACTCAACTCCGATCGGCCTGCCAGGCCTCTTGGTCATCATACGACTTATGTCCTTTTCCTAAATGGAATTTCCTTTTACGCATTACAACACGGATTGCACGTTGGAAGTTTTCCTATTTATGATTATTTTATCATATGACCATATAAAAAATATGCAAACGGAATTATGAGGTAGAATGTCACATCAGTACCATTGATTAGACTAAGTTTAATTAGGGTGCGCTGACATGGATAAGAAAAAAGGAAAACTAAAAAGATTAAAAAAAGCCTAACATTAACCCACATTCACGCACATGCGCAGCGAAGGAGGGCTGAGGCGGGTGACAGCGGCCGCGGCGTCACCGAGACACATGAGGGCCGTAGAGTGCTTGCCAGCCTCAAGCGAGCACCATATGGCCGCCGCCACCTCCAGTCGAGCACACACGCACACAAAAGAGAGGGAGAGACTGAGAGAGGAAAAACTAGCAACGATTGATTGGTGGGGTCACACAAGTCCCACAAGGCGACGATGGGGGTCAGGCAGGCCCTAGTGAGCAATTGCCGAGGTCTCATGGATCACGCGACCCCAACAAGGCTTTGCCGAGCACTGCACGACCCTGGTAACGTGTCGCATTTGCAGCCAGGTCACTTCTCCCTTTTCCCCTAATTCATGTTGCCATCATCCCCGCTCGTCTCTCTTAGTTGCGAACCCAACAGACTTCTTTGTTCACCCTTTTTTTAATTCCTTATTTTTAAATATCAATACTTTATACTTTAATTTTTCTTGTTTTTTAATTTGCTTTTAAATGTTTTAAAGTCAAGTAAGAGGTATAGGTGAGCACGGTTCCAGGATAGAACCTGGAACTTGAAAACCTGACTGGTAAGAACCTGTAGGTTCCAGATTTCAAGGTATATAGGGTAGGTTCCATATTCCAAAAATTTTGGAACTTGTTTTGACAAGTAGGTTCCAGGTTCTAGATGGGTGGAACTTGAAACCTTAAATAAGTTTTTTGTGATTTTTTTTTTGTCTATGTTTTCGTGTGATCCTACGGTGTTCCATGGCATTAGATGATAAGTGTATAATCTGGAACCACTAGTCTGAGCTTTTATTTTATGACTTGTTAACGTTTCATATTTTTCGTATGTCTAAATATAAGTTGTGGTCAGTAAATCGTAGCAGCAAGTGGTGGTCATTAAAGATGATGTATCACTGCAATTGTTCAATTAATAATATAGGTAGAACTTGTGTAGACCCTGAAACCAACCTTGAAATCTGTGACAAGGTAGGTTACAGGTTTCAAGGTATGTAGAGTAGGTTCAAGGTTCCAGAAAATGAGGAACCTGTTCTTATGAGTAGGTTCCAGGTTTCAAGTGGAAATTGTACGGAACCTGAAACCATTCACCTCTAGTAAGAGGCACGTTGGCATTTAACAGTGACTTAATGGTCACGTCCATATTTCCGTGTCTTTATTCATCGAAAGGATCAATTCGAAAAAAAAAAGTATATAGTGTAGAGGTCTAATTGCATAAAAAAATTTGAGGAACTTGATTGAATAATTTGCTATTGTTCGGGGACTTTCGATTTATCATTATTATATTTTTGGAATACTAGCAAAGCAAGGATCACGTTTCTTTGGTGGACCAGAGCATTAGCGTGTGGAATTGCATTATTGAGCTTGCTCACATATCAAATTTTGTTTGCCCCAATGTCAGATTTCATTTGTCATTTTGGTCCATGACGAGTGGCCTCTAACGCACCGTTGTTAATTCTATCTCTTAGACATCCTTCTTATTATAGATTATCTTACTTATCTATCAAACTTTTACCTTTTCAACTCTTTGGTATCTAGAAAACTAGTAAGTAAAATCAAAATTGATTTAATTTTAAGAGAACAATTAAATCCCTGTGGTTAATTTCAGGATATGCAAATAAAGAGACGCTTCATTCCAAACTAAACGCAAAATAACATACACGGTGCATGGTCTTATGAATCTTTTGGAAAAATAAAACAAATGAAACAATGATATAATATATATCACACTTTAATAGGCCTTTCCTGTGAACATCAGATTAATTTTTATCGGATCCACTGTCAGTGTAAGAATTATTTACACATTCACTGTTAGATAATTGGCTTGTGGAAGAATTTGATTTCTTCAAGTACAAATATCCATAATCAATGTTAGCTTTTTTTTTTTTCCTTTTCCTAAGTAAATATAAGCACCATATTTAGTATTTAATTATATCTCAACTTTGAGCCTGTACACGAATCATTCCCGGTTAGAAACTTGGATGTGTTCAGAACTTTATCTTCAAGCAAATATAGTGGAATCCAAATTATGGAATCGGGTCTTCAATTAATGATAAAAATGAATAAAATCAAGGTTTCTCAGCGTGAGTCAAAAGTCAAATGAAGAATTCTACTCATTTATTATACATTATGGAAAATAAGAAAAGTATATGAATTTTCTCTCTTTGAGTAAGTGAAAAACGCTAGAGTAATTATGACTCTGTAATTCTCTGGATTCATAGTGGATTTCTGTAGCTGGCTCTCTCCATAATTAGGTACAAACACACGGACCGAATTACATAAGTTTATGGTATCCTTCTTGTTTCTTATTCATTTCTCTCTTCTTCTTGCATTGGATTTAAATTATAAGATCGATTAACTTTCACGTAATTTTACAATATTTAGTTTAGTACACACATCTAACAAAATCATTATGAGAATTGGAGCAACTTGAGATAGTTAACAGTTAACTTGATTTACTTGTTAATAAATAGATTGGCTTCTGAAGGAGCAAAAGCCAGCTTAGCTGCTAAGGACTGTGAAAGTCAATGCTTATGGTGAAAACATGGGATCAAAATTGCTTCATCAGGTTGGCATAAGATTTTACGAAAAGGAAGGACCAACCACAGCCACCTCTATACCTATTAACCTAATCGATGGATTATAAAAGTGACTGCCTTTACAAATTCTTCCAAGGAGACCGGACCACTTGTTTGTCCGATTTCCTTGGAAAATCAAGAATAATCCACAGAGCTTCTTTCCTTCTTGATTTCTCAACTCAGAAATCTAATTCTAATAGACTTCGTATGATCTTAAAATTTACTAAAAGAAATAAAAATCATGTGTATTTCCCCTAGCTTGAACAGCTCGAAAGAGCTAGAGAAAGAACAGCAAAAGTTAATGGAAAACTCGTGATAGTCACTGTCCCCGACTTCTCGACAGCCTCTTATGATGATCATATCAGTCTCTTCAATGCGGAAACAACGGAGATTCATCGAATCATGTGTTTGCCGTCCAGTTCGTTAAGGTCTAGCAGCTCACGTTCATGAGGGACATAAACGAGAACCAGGTTGGGATGGACATGAATAGCTCCAGGTCTGTTGCATCAGGGACGGCCATTTTTATTATGAGAAAACCACTGGCTCGTTCAAGGAGTTGCAGCATGAGAGCTGCGATGCAATCCAACCCTGGGTCGACTAAGACCGGGCCAAGAAAGTCGGGAATGTGACCATTGCTCAGACGAGCCTCACAAATCCTCCGACGAGTGGCTATATGCGTGGCTTCCCGTGAAATTTAAAACAAAGGAGAAGTGGGGTTCTATGGTCAGGTTGAGGGAAGATAAAGATGAGAGAGAGATATATGTTTGCAAGTTTTGGAAGATGTGCAAGACTTGAGAGCCGCGTCACATTGCTGGACCTATCTCTTCAAGAACTTCATGAAAATTTCACACGTTTCCGCCATAAATTATAACCCCATTCTCCGTTAGTCCTCCAACAAGTTCTGATAATGCTGTACAAATGGAATTTGCTGCTGAATGGACTAGCGCATGGCCTACGTTACGCTATTAGGGTGCCCAATATTTTCTCATACAAAGTGAGAGATAAAGACCGTCTTAAACAAGACGTTAAAAGGCTTCATTTAGGGTCTTGTGCAGACCTTGGTATTCCCTAGACTTAAAAAGACTTAGGCTGCGTTTAGTCATCCGGATTTCTAGCCAAGATAAGATTGAATATGATAGGATATGAAATACAAGAGATTTGTTATATCCTATCTACTATTTGATTAATCGCAGTAATAAAGCCGGATATTTTCAC